ATGTTAATGCTTCTATTTTAGGTGTGACTTTTTAACATTCTGTAAGGGGTCTACAGATGTAAAATAGCCATTCTTGGCTAATTCTGGCACATTTTACAGTAATGTTTATTAATGTGCATTGAACCTGTAAACAAATAAACTAAACTAAAAGTCAGGTATATTTCTGTCTTAAACTAAAATAAAAATACAGTACATTTTTTTTTTTTTTGCTGTGAAATATTATTGCTATATATATATATATATATACAATTTAAAGGGATTGTTAACCAAGACAAAAAATTCTGACATCATTTACTCATCATTCACTTGTCACAAACCTGTTTGAGTTTCTTTCTTCCGTTGAACACAAGAGAGGTTATATTGAAAAATGTTTGAATGTTAAAACTTGTCATTATTTTCCTTTGGCTTGGTCCCTTTATTTATCTGGGTATTCCACAACGAAATGAACCACAAACTTATTCAGCATATGTTTTACACAGCGGATGCCCTTCTAGCTGAAACCGGGTACTGGGAAACATCCATACACACTCACGTACACACACATACACTACAACCAATTAAGTTTATTTAATTCACCTATACCGCATGTCTTTGGACTGTGGGGGAAACCAGAGCACATGCAAACTCCACACAGAAATGTCCACTGGCCCAGCCGGGACTCGAACCAGCGATTTTTTTTTGCTGTATGGCGACAGTGCCAACCACTGAGGCACTGTGCCACCCTTTTTGATTTTCTTACTATTGCTATAGGTTTCTTTTGCTTTTTTGTGTTCAACAGAAACATAAACCACTTGAGGATGAGTAAATGGGGAGTAAATTTCTGGGTGAACTATCGCTTTAAAGACTTTTTCCTACGGTGGCAAAGCTGAATTTTCAGGAGTCATTTTGTTGCTTTCATTTAATGTCGTAATCACCATAATTTCCTCAGACTTGGAAAAGCTGTTTGTATGGTAAAACACAATGGTCACATGATACAAATTGTAGCTTTTCAATTGCACTTTCCAATTTACAAGTATAATTACGAGTTTCACAAGACATTAATGCTTTGTAGATGTTACGTTTTTTAAATTACAGTAATTTTGACATGACGTGTGGACATTCAGTATTACAGGATCCTTTAGAATTCACCTGAATTCTAATGTATTTAAAACAGAAATCTTTTGTAACGTCAAACATGTATTTACTTTTATTTTCATTCAAATGTATGCATTTTGCTGGATAAATGTATTCCTTTGTTCAAATATTCATTTTCCTTCGGCTTATTCTCTTATTTATCATGGGTATTCCAGAGTGGAATGCGCATATGATTTATGCAGCATATGCCCTTCCAGGTGCAATCCAGTACTGGGAAACACCCATACACTCTCACATTCACACACACTCATACACTACGACCAATTTAGTTATTGCAATTCACCTATAGTGCATGTCTTTAGGGGAAACCGGAGCACCCGGAGGAAACCCATGCGTACACGGGGAGAACAAGCAAACTCAAATACCAACTGGAATAACCAACAACCTTCTTGCTGTGAGGCAATAGCGCTAACCACTTAGCCACCGTGTCGCCCTTGAATAAAAGTATTAATTTCTTTAAAATACAAAAATGAATATTTCTTTATTTTATTGAAAGAAATGCTGCAGTATCAATTACTTAAAAATTGTACTTTTATTATTTTATTTGAAAGCATGTTTGTAGCTTACAACACAAAACTCATGTGAATGCTAAGTGCTCTCTCATTTTAAAGGTTAAATCATTTTATGACTTCCTTTCAAAAACATTCTTAATTATAATTTTGACGGGCAGTGCATGATCCTACTCATATCCTGGTGCCTGCCTATACCAATTACAGTTTGTAAACCCTGCCACGTGCCATTTAACACATGCACATATAGACCTGTTCTTTGCTGAATAACACAACAGCAGCTGATTGGCTGTTATGGGAACACTAAACAGCAGAACTCTCCAGCTGACATCTTAAATGCGAGTTTGCCATTACACGTGCACATTATATTCGCCGAAAATTGTATTCCCTCCAAAATTTCCTGTCGCAGGCTAAGATATCCGTGCCCCTGGACAGCTAATTTATCAGCGGGTGTCAGGCAGGAGGCAGCAGGGGGAGGAGAGGAGGAGCGGAGAGCAGGAGGAGGTGGAGAACAGGAGCTCTGCGGAGAGAATGCAATGTGACAGAGCTCCTCTCCGCTCTGTTCATTCCCAGTCTCATGCTAATTAGCACTGGGAACAGACTGCCAGTGCCACGAGAGGAGCCTCTGGTGCAACATGATGCAATGCGGGGCTTCCCTGTCCTATATCAATGCACAAACCACTGTGGCTCATATCAAAGCTGCATCTTGCTGGGCTGGATCTGCTGGTTTGCTGCAGGCGGAAACGGGTGTATCAGAAGAGCTTGTTTGCATGGTGTCAACCAAGCATCACCTTGGTTTCAGCTAAAAAAAAGATTGGGGTAATGGAGTGGCCCTCTTAATGCCCTGATGTCACCCAATTGAAAACTTTTGAGGTGACATTAAAAAGGAAGTTTCTTAAGCAAAACCCAAAAACTGACAGGAACTGTTGGATCTAGTTTGTTCATTATGGGCTGAAATACCAATTACTGGGTGCCAGGTGTTGGTTTACTTGATGGAACCCAAATGTGCAGCAATTATCTAAAAAAAAACAATGGCTATTTAACTAAATATAAATTCAGGAATTTGAACTGTTTTTAATGTTTTAGTAAGAAAAATATTGATAATGTTATTTTTTTAACAAATTATTTTAGATTTCTCCTATAAAAAGATTACAGAGAATTGATCAAATCAGTTGTTAAAACAAAGTATCTCAATATTTTGATTAACAGAAAATTTAAATGTGTAATGTTTCTATTATATTGATTCATATATCCATGCACCACTATTGAAATATGGGCATATAAAGTATATTATTGCTCTTTATTTATTTATTTATTTATTTATTAATTTATTAATTTATTTAGTTATTTATTTATAGAAGAGCATCTGGACCCAAAGGTGTGGCATGATATCAGACTTTACAAACAAATTGATATGCATTCAGTTATTGAATGCATCTATTAGATGGACAGTACCATTTTGCAATGAAATGCTGATTATAAGATGTTAAGTGATGGCAGATCAGTCACTGAAGGCTCAACTGGTGCAGATTCTAAAAATGGAAAGAAAGGTCACCTTTTATTGCTCTAATGCCTGATGAAACGCTATTGATTACAAAATGGAATGAGTAATATGGAGGAAAACATATAGTCTGGGTTGTGTAGAGGCGCTTTCAGTCCTCGCTCTCGGGGTCTGCGTGTTTTCTTGTGGTTTGGTTGCTAGGCACTTCATCAGGGAACTTAATGTGTAATTAGAAGGTGAGCAGGGTTTATTTTCTGTCTGTTCTCTTGCATGAACCTCTTGAAAAAAATTCAAATAAAATAACTTTAACCATAAAAGCCACAACAACAAAATGCTCAAATAAAAAGTAATTGGCTGCATACATGAACTGGAATAAACCAAGAATAAAATTAAAAGTGCTGTTTGGTCTAAACAAATGAAAATCTAAATTCTAAAAGCTAAAATCAGTGTGTGCATGTGCTTGCTTGTGTGTGCATGTTTGTGTGTGGTATTAATTAATATTAATTGATTTATTATTACTAATATTGTTATTATTATTATTATTATTATTATAACTCTTAAATTCTATTCTTCTTGTGTCAGTTCTGTTACAGTTGGTATTGAAAATGAAACAATTGGCATGACTGTACTGTGGCACTTAAATGTTCATCTAGTTTAAGCTTGTTCTTTCGTTTTGTTTATTGCTAGTAACTGTATTCCTCACAGAAGCTGTTTGCTGTTAGTGAGCTAATAAAATATTTTAACTCAAATCAATATCCAGTGTTCAATTATTTACTTATGTGGGAAGGAGCTGGGTAATAAGCAGGTTAATGTACATCTAGACAGCTGTTAATGCAAAATAAACCCATTCAGGTTGAAATAAGACTCTTCAGCTTCACATTGCTGCCCTGATCACCCTGTCGGGGCTTAATCTGCAATAATTGCCATCTGGATGTACATTATGCCTTACTTGTCATCATACGTCGCAATATCACTGTTTTTACTGTATAAAACATAGAAACTCTTCCAACTCCCTTCAGCTTAGTCCTTTTTTTTAATCAGCGGTTGGCACAGTGGAATGAATCGCCAACTATTTCTGCATATGTTTTACACAGTGGATGCCCTTCCAGCCACAACTCAGTACTGGGAATAACCCATACACAAACACACACACATACATTTTTGTTTAGTCAATTCACCTAAAGAGCATGTCTTTGGATATTGGGGGAAACTGAAGGAAGCCCATGCAAACACGGGAGAACATGAAAACTCCACACAGAAATGCCAACTGAACCAGCCGGGACTCGAACCAGTGATCTTCTTATTGTGAGGCGAGAGTGCTAACCACTAAGCCACCGTGTTTTGTTTTGTTTTTATCTGTAAAATTGACAACTCTTAAAACTACGTATTTGGCATTTTCTGTAGTGTTTGCTCATTGCAGACATTCATTTTCACACATTTTAATGTATCAATGTTATCTATTTCATTAAAACCATCACAGGCTGGCAACTTTATCTCCCGAGTGTCAGTGCTGGCTCAGACAGCTGAGGTTTCAGCATCAAACAAACAAACTGTGTTTGAGTATGTGTTAGTCTGTGTCATGCTATTTACACATTTACAGGAAATGGCACAAACAGGAGTACGTGAAAACCGTCTGTCAGATACACAGAGAGGTGTTTTGGAGTCTCAACACTGCATTTCAGGCTTATGATGTTTTGCATAAGGATGACTGTTAATTAACTGTCATTAATGAATTGATTTAAAGCAGTATAATTTGGCAGTTATTCCATGGAATCTCAAACTGAATTCCCAACCGAAAGCAGTGCATGGGGCTATAAATTTATGTGTATGTGTGTTTGTGTTTCTCTCTGATGCAGATTCAAGAGCAGATGGAGCGCCACAGAAAATTGATCATGCCGTCATCGGCGGAGTTGTCGCAGTGGTTGTGTTCGCCATGCTTTGTCTCCTGATTGTTCTTGGCCGATATTTCGCCAGACACAAAGGTAAATCACAAGCATGATTCTGGCTTGGCCTGATTTTTTTTATTATTATTACTGACAGTGACAAATGTGTTCAACTTTATTTTGCTGGTTTACACTGACTGTTTAAAGGTGCATATAATGAAAATCTGGATGTACGTAAGCGTACAATAGCTGAATAATAAGAGTTCGGTACATTGAAATAACATACCACGAGCCCCTTTTTCTGATGTAGCCTATATGGGACTCTTATTTAAAAAATGGGAGAAACAGGGAAACTAAAGCCTGGTGTCTTTACATTGTTTTATACATTGCTGAGTAGCAAAGAGAGACGTCAAATGGCTGCACTGGTGTAGGCTATATAAATACCAATAAAAGCGGTTACACATTTAAAACACTATAGTAATTTATAGTAAAGGAAAATATTTAGGAATAAGCCTTATATATATATATATATATATATATATATATATATATATATATATATATATATATATATATATATATATATATATATATAGTAAAATAGTAATTTTTTTTTTATGTGCACGGTCCTTTACTGACAGCCGTGTGTGTGGATCTTGTCAGAAAATATGGCAAAAAGTATTACATGATGGTAATAGTTTGATTGCAGTGTTTACTTCAATAATGCCACTAATATATGAATCATCCATGTCTTAATTCAATTTCTGTTTAGTTCAGTTATGACTTTAGTCGGATTAAGGTGATCAAAAATCGCTGTTTTGAGCTTATGTAGGCCTACAGTTCAAAATGCATGTTTAACTGAATAAACTGTAGGTAAACACAAGCACATCTTATTGAACATCATTTATTTTCATCACCAATTATTATAGTAGAACAGTTTCTCAAGCACAGTTTTTGTGATGCATTTTGTAAAAAGCTGATGAGCCCCTGGTCTAATGCGCCACCTGGCTTGAGAAACCCGTTCTCAAAGACTTATTATTTGGGTAGCACACATATTCTGAATGCCTTCGGCAGAATTCAAATGAGCCATTTTAATCTAGATTAATCTAGATTAATTCCAAGATCTTTCCATAATACAAATTTATCATGTTAGTCGAATTAGTTTTCTGCTAATCGACAACACCGACCAGGGGTGTGTTTCCCAAACAACAATATAACTTGCGGCTGAACAATTATAGTACGATGCATCGTTTGGGAAAAGAACTATGTAGTGACAAATGTTTCCCAAAACCGGTAGTTTCTCTGTCGCAGATTCATCGCTTAAACCATGTTAGTTATAACGTAAAACGCCCATAATGATGCTCTAAATGGGGTGAAATAACAACTTCTTTAGAGAAAAACCCATAATTTCTTTGTGCAAATTATATTGTTTTATACGCACACACATTTTAAATAAAGTCCAATATTAGATTTGGTAAAAACATGCACTGGCTTTCCATATTAACTGAAAAATATGTAAAGGCACATAGGGCCTATGTTTGCTTTACTAATATTATTGAGAAGTTGAACATTATAATATTCTATTCTAAAACATATCAATTACAAAAGCTAATACGTATTCTAATCTCATATATAAATCATATTAATAAATAATGAGGCTATTTATTATTATAAATGAAAAAAAACATACTTTAATAATATTATTTATAATACTAATGATGATGATGATGATGATGATAGTAATTATTATTATTATTAAGTTGGCCCTTGTTTATTTTAATAAATTTTTTTTCAAAAGTCTACTTTTACAATTTGAGACATTTAAACCACTGCAGAAATGTTCTAACCAGCAGGCCCATGTCATATAAAATACAGATATTTAATAAATAACCCATTATAAATTAAAAGAATTAACGTATGCTTTTTGTTTTCACAAGCTTGGGAGACGTACAATAAATTCCACTTTTAAATAATATGTCACCTATAGCTTTCGCCATGAGGTTGTGATAAAAATGATATCAATGTTTTTAAAGTGCACTGCGAAGGGAGCACAAATGTAAACATGAAGATCACTGAAACGGAACTGTGAAAATAGTTTGGAAGCAAATTACACCAAAGAGAGATGACCTTTTACCTTTTAGATGCTTTTTTATTTTTAATAATTCCAACTTTGAATGTTAGAATGTTCTTAATGAATAGGGCATAGGGGGGATAAGTGGAAATAGAACACAGCCAGGAACTATGTTTCTAACGACAGCTCCAGAGCTGTAGTTGTGAGTTCTCAAGTTTGCGACGCAGTTTGCGAATGTTCGTTAGAGTGACGGATTTGGGAAATGGCAAATCAACAAACTATATTTGTAACGACGGAACTTACGACCTTAGTTGGCTGACAATGGTTTTGGGAAACGCACCCCAAAGCGTACACGTGTTGTACACCTCTGTAAAACAGTAAGAAGAAATCTTCATTTTTGCCAATATGGATTGAATGTCAATGTCATTATTTATTGATCTGCGATTGGTAAATGTAGATTGTGTGGATGCTTCTTGATTAAAAAATACCTTTGCTACTGAAAAGCAATTTGATTTAGAAAGTAGCAGCGCTACCGCCACGCTACTGACAAATGTAGTTAAGCTAGTAGCATCACTACTTGTAGTGACGTTACTGCTTAACACTGTTCACAGAAAACAATTTTTTAGAGATGTAGTATAAGCTGATGTACAAAGTTATTTAAAGGTAGGGAAGTATCTGTTAGAGAACTATTAAATGTTGAGAAGTTTTAGATTTTTTTTAATTGTACCTGAAAAATCTTTAAGCATGGACCTGTTGTGTGTTTCGAGAGTGTTAATTAATGTATACAGTATGATTGTGCTAAACCCATTTGTTCACAATCATTCTTAAATAACTTATTTTGAAAGCATAATGCAAAATTACACAATTGTATTAAAGACAAAGGAGAAAATATGTTAGTTTGTGTGTACATTTTTGGTTGTATCTATGGAAACAACGCATTTTCATTTTATTGCAAAACATGCATATATTTACAAACATTTAAGCATTATCATTGTTGGAATATTGACTGTATTACAACATTTGGCATGCATTTCTTAACAAGTTTAACTAAACAACTGTCTTTCTTTACATGCTTTTCAGCTTCCTTATAATATATATATATATATATATATATATATATATATATTTCTGAAGCACAGATCTATATAGAGAGCCTGTCTCCCTACACTCTGAAAAATATACACAATTTTTGTAGTGTACTTTTTTTCTAGATACAACCAAGAGCTTTGGATTAAAAGTTTTTACATTTTGCCATCATTAGTTAGTTATTTACCCAGTTTTCCATCTGATTGTCATGAATTTCTTTGTATTTTTACACTCAGTAGTTCAAATAATAAAGTAACCCATCAAAATAAAGTATTATTAACGAATGTTCCTTTTTTAAGGGACCTACTTCACCCACGAAGCTAAAGGAGCGGATGACGCGGCGGACGCCGACACTGCCATCATCAACGCAGAGGGCGGACACAACAATTCGGATGACAAGAAGGAATACTACATTTAACTGGAACTAGACCTGTTAGCTTCCAGTGCTGAACAGCAAACTGTGGACTGCTGGGTTTGGGAGGAAGGGGTTGTGGGATTCAATCAGGCTGGATTCACACCTGCGCAGCTGAAGAGACGCTGCTGCCATCGAGACGGACGGGGTGTGGGATGGCAGAGCACTAGGAGAGCTCAATTTTAGACCGCTTCACCATCCAACACCTCCTGCTGGGGCCGGTTTTGTTCCGTTTAAACATTTGCTAAGAATTTTGTGCCTTGTTCTGTTCTTACTGAAGTTCCCACTTTCATCAGGACACCCACAAGCTACTGTCTCTCCAATGGTCTGAATCCACGTTTTTTTTTTCTCTCCTTTCATTTCATTTTTTTAATTGCTAGCACATCTTAAAGCTCTCTCTCATGCTGTTCTGTCTGCAGGTCTGAAAGAAAGCCGCGCACCAAGTTTCGATGTAAGATTCAGTCACAGAATGATCGCTTGGGTTGTTTTCACGGATTGATTCCAAGTAATTTATTTGGCAAATTGCCTGTTGCTCTCCTTAGTCCCCCAGAGAACGAGTTAGAGATGATAGAAACCTTTTTTTCTCTCTCTTTTTTGTGACCAACAACATTCAGCAGCAGTATTGCATTGTTGCAATATTTATTGGATATACTGTATGTGATTATGATCAGCTTGTGTTGATATTAGGGCTGTCAATCGAACACATTACTACTATTATTTCGTTTATTAAATCATTAAAATATTACCCAAATTTGGCAATGACATGACAAAATTTATATTATTATTATTATTATATACAGCTATGGAGAAAATATTAAGACCAATTATGACATTTCTTACTAAATTAAAATGAAAAAGTTATTATTTAGAGCATTGTTTTTTTTTTTTTTGCTTGTTTGTTTTTTCTTTAAAAAAAAAGTGCTAAATTTTCAGACATGTTGCTAGCCAAATTCATTTATATAGAACATTTCATAAACAGTAATAATTCCAAGTGCTTTACATAAACAGGAATAAAAGAAACAAGTATAAGAAAATAAAAAACAAATTATAACAGTGAATAAAAGCAGTTTAAAATGTGTTAAACAGGTTTTAAAAGAATGAAAAAGAAAAGAAAGACAAATTATAACAGTGAATAAAAGCAGTTTAAAATGTGTTAAACAGGTTTTAAAAGAATGAAAAAGAAAAGAAAGACAAATTATAACAGTGAATAAAAGCAGTTTAAAATGTGTTAAACAGGTTTTAAAAGAATGTAAAAGAAAAGAAAGACATAATAGTGTGATCTGTCGGACGTAGTACAGTGCTCATTTAGTAAGGGCACAGCTAAACAGATGTGTTTAAGGTCTTGATTTGAATCTTTAATTTCTTGCTGATTCCAGCAAATGGTGTCTAAAATTTTTCTTTTAAATTGATAATTTTGTCAGGCTCCAGTGTATAGGTTAAGTAATTTCGCTTTTAGGGCAAAGAATTCCTTCCTCTCATAGTCTTCAAAGAGAAATAACTTATAAACAAAGGAGGCTGAGAATAATGCTCATTTTCGATGTACATTTCACATATATATAATTATTATTGATATTATGTATTTTTATTTATTTATTTTAGAAAAAAAAACGCTCCAAATTACAATATTTTCATTTAACATTTGGAGGAAATGTTATTAAATGTTATTAAAAAAATAAATAAATATCTGGGTGCTTTCACACCGGTGAATCGATTTATTTGTTCCGAAACATAGATTAAAATTGAAACTAAAACAAGAGCTAAAACAAGTCATATGTGAGTAAACTCTGCTCACATTGGTCAGAGTTTCAGTTTTTTTTTTTGCAGATTCCTGCTTAGCTGTCGGGGAGTGGTAGTTTGGTGGTGTTTGACAGGGTGCGTGCCGAGATCTCACGAGAAAGTTTAAGTATTTTTAGTTTTGTCAGTTTAGTGGCTAATTCGTACAAATTCGTATGAGTTAAGTCATACGAAAATGTACCATTTTAAAAAGGAGGTGTGGCACCTAACCCCAGCACTAACCCCAACCGTCATTGGCTGATGAGCAAATCATACTAAACTGTACGAATTAGATCATACAAATTTATACGAATTAGCCACAAATCAAAAAGTTACGAATTGCAGTGAGATAGCGTTAGGTGAGGAGGGGTGAGAAGGGTGCGTGATGTATTTAAGGACCGGGAGGGAGATGCGCGATTACCGGGAGATTATCACTTGTTTGCTGTGCATTTGCAGGAGACTCCCAAAACTTCCGGGAGACTTGGGATGTCTGGAATGACCTCCCGCCCTACTCATAATTCTCTTCATATAGCCATATGCCAACTACATATCCATAAAACACTGTGATATAGCCGGGCTCGGATCGTATCGCTTTCTCACTACAATCGATCCGCTCCAGAGTTTGTTTCAGTCGAGCCAAGATGACCTCATTCAGGCAATCTCGGACCGATCGTTTTGGCACGGATCCGAGCGCAGTTGCTGCATTCACATATGCCAAACGAACGGTGCTAACTGGGCAAACGAGACATGTTCTGAAACAAAAGTCTAGGTGTGAAAGCACCCTAAATCTAGCTACTAGTCACATTAAAAACATTACAAAGAGGAAATAACAACAAGAATATAAAAGTCATTTGTTAATTGGCAGATTGATTTCAATTACAACATGATTTACAATAAAGTGTAACATAATTGATATGAAATATGGAATAAAATGGAAATAAACAACATAATGTCTTCTAGCTTGAAATAATTGCATTAAATGAACTATACAGATTGATTAAAACTTTTAAAGGAACTATTATTAGTTTTGAGTAATTACAGTTGGCTTCTGTTGACATCAAGGCTGACAGCTTAACATATCAAAACATTACTTCAATCAATACATCTCTCATATACAGTACATATGCAAACATAAATACATTGACAGCCTCATTCCTGACAGATTGACAGCTTCAATTACACAATGATTCACTGTTGATTGTGGCGTGCTAGACTTTTATCCAGACACACAGAACTAAAACAAACAAAGTCTCCTGAAGCCTAATTTGAAATAATCGAATTAATTCATCAGCATACGTTGACTTGATTAAAACCTTTCGGCGATTGACAGCCCTAATTGTTCCTTAGATGTAACGTATGTGATTATAATCGGCTTGTGTTGATATTCATTCCGGCTTGTGTTGCATTTATCCATATAGCCGCTCCTCTCGCAGACTCATTTATTATAATTACGCCCAAGCAGCATTCAAATAAAAGCCAAAGCAAAAAGAAGAGAGCAGAGCGGCTCAGCTGTAGATTCAAAACGATACAAAACATATCTATCCCAGAGTGTAAAATAGCTTTCATTTTTAGCCTGTTCTCACTCAGTAGGCTCAGTTTGAGGTGGAGGTCAGTGAGTTTGCCTGACTATTGTTAGTGCTTCTGTGCGCTTCTCATAGTGACATAAAAAAAAAAAAAAAACTGTTAAAAAAAAGTGTACTAAATGAAATAGATGGAGCCTGTATGTTGTAAGCCATACTCACATTTGTGGCCGTTTCAGTTTAGCAGCTCTTATTCTCCATTCCTTCAATGCGTAGATGCCAGACTGAATGTAATAACTCTACAATAATGCAATAGTTTGGACTTGCCAGTTTGTTTATCTCATCCAACATGCTTTATTTTGCACGTATGTGTGTGAGTGGGAGGATTTTTCACAGGTATTATGTTTTATCACTTCTAAAGGTATTACAGATGTATAGAACCTGAGATTATTACATTATTGTAGAGTTAGTATGCAGTAGGTGATTTATTACTCTCATATCAGGCTTCGTTTCATATCTTTGGCCTTCGTTTGGTGTCCTAGACGGTAGGACAGATACGTATTGTTTGTGATTTAAATGCATTGGGATGGGGGAGGGGGGATTTCGGAGTTATGGTGAGAGTAACGGTTAACATTGTAAAATCCTTGTGACAAAATTGTTTGGTCATAGCGTTTACATGAATTTGTGTATTATCAAGTGCTATTTTTTTGGTTTGTTTGTTTATTTTCTTATTTTCTCAGTTGTATTTCTGGGATTATCTGACAGATGAGCGTTATTAGCTAATAAATTATGGTATATGTGTGCGAGGCTCTTGTAGCTAATGCCACTTTTTATATTTGGTTATAGAGAAACTGTTTCCTTTTGTTGACATTGTCTGTTTCACAGTAATTTGTGGTGTCATACAGCAACAGATTTATTTGAACATATTATCGTATTACACTGTAAAACCCAAAAAGTTAAGGTAACTCAACCAGGAAACCGATTTGAGGAAACCGATTGCAACAAACCATTTCAGTTAAAAAACTAATCCAAATGAGTACTGTAAACTTAATCCATTTGAGTAAATGAATCAATTTGAGCAAAGTAAAACCCAATGAAGAAAACTCAAACCAAATGAGTACTGTAAGATTCAATAAGTTAAGACAACTCAAATTGTTTGAGGATACCGATTGCAACAAACCATTTTAGTTTAAAAACTAATCTATATAAGAACTGTGAACTTACTCCATTTAAGTTGAAGTAATGAGTTATTTGACGAACGCATTACCTTCAAAACTAAGTTCAAAACTCTTTTCAAATGAGTAGAATTAACTTTCAGTAGATTTTGAATTAACTAAACTTATTTCATTTGATTTCAAGTTGACTGTTGGGTTTTACAGTGAATATTTTGAATGCAAGAGAATCAAAGTTAAATTAAGCCCCTAAAAATGTCATTTAAACAATAAATAAAACAGAGAAATCAGTTGCCATTCAAAAATTTGGGGCCAAAAAGATTTTTTTAATAATATTAATACAGAATTAGATTATTTTTATTCAACAAAAATGCATTAATCAGTTTTTATTTTTTTTATTTTTTTTAGGAAAACTAAAATAATCATTGTAAGATGTTGATTTGATGGTCAAAAAACATTTCAGATAATTTTCTAAGTTGAAAATTATAACTAAAATAGTTTTTGTTTATTTTTTGGCTTATAATATTTTAATTAATTTAAC